GAGAGAGAAACAGTGACGTGAGGGAGACACGACTGGCTGCCACTGCGTCTGCTCACATCTCACAGCCTTCACCTGACAGGTGACTGGTTTTCTTTCTTGCTCCCCCTTTTCTAGGCGGTTTGTAAACTCCCGCTGGCTTCAAGGCCCAGCTGAAGCCCCACCCGTGTGGCACCTTCCCCACCAGCACCCGGGCAGCGCCGATAATGCTCACATCCCACTACCCCTGTGCTTTCCAGGACCCTGTTTATTTTGCACCGTGACCGTCTCTGCACGTCTGTCCCCCTGAATAGCTGCTGGGCTGTGCCAACCTCAAGGGCAAAATTCTACCTTGCTCCTCTGTGCTTGCCTGTCAGTGAGCCCAGCACACTTTAGGCATTTAGATGAGTGTTTTGCATAAAATGCATTCATTCACGGGTTAATTAGTTAATTACTGATACTCAGCGTTGGTCTGACCTTGACGATTTCCTATACATGGGTCAACACTGAAGATTTAGTCAAAGACTGTGGGGAAGATTTAGAAAATCGATGTGCATGCGCCGGGTGGTTCAGAAGGAAAAACAAATGAATGAAGGAATGGAGCCCTGGCCCGTGTGGCTCAGTGGTTAGAGCGCTGGCCCTTGGACTGAAGGTCCCAGCCGAGGGCACAGGCCTCGGCTATAGGCTCGATCCCTCGCCCTGGTGGTCGGGGCGCGTGCGGGAGACAACCAATTGGTGTGTTTCTCACATAGGCTTTTCTCTCTCTCTCTCTCCCTCTCTCCACCTTCAACTCTCTCTGAAAAGCAATGNAGTGTGTTTCTCACATAGGCTTTTCTCTCTCTCTCTCCCTCTCTCCACCTTCAACTCTCTCTGAAAAGCAATGGAAAAAATATCCTTGGGTGAGAATTAAAAAGAAAAAAGAAAAAAACAAGACAAACCGGTAAAGCCCGGCTGCTGTGGCTCAGTGGTTGAGCGTCAACCTATGAACCAGGAGGTCGAGGTTCGATTCCCGGTCAGGGCACAGGCCCGGGGTGCGGGCTCCTGGATCCCCAGCAGGGGGCGAGCAGGAGGCAGCCGATCAATGTCTCTCTCTCTGAAATCAATAAAAACATATTTAAAAAAAAAACAAAAAAAAACCGGTACAGAGCATGTCGCATATTCTAAAACCACTGACACGGAATGTTTCATTAAGAGGACTTCGGGAGACGGAGGGAAGTTCATGAAGGGACTTTAAGCTTTAGGGTGCAGGCTACGGCCAGTAAGGATGAGCCCGTCCCTGCTGGTCGAGCCCGCGGACAAGCAGACCTTTAGAAGACACGTGTTGCCAATACTGAGTCTGTTTCTCACGCGGACGTCACGAGGCTTTCGCGTGCAGATCGCAGGGCGTGCCTGCAGGCTTATGACGGCATCGTCCTCACAGAATCCATCAGGTGACACGACTGATGTGTCTGCCCTCTGACCCTACTTAATTGGACCGGCACACGCGGGACTCTACCGTCAGGAACAAGAATCTCCTCGGCTGCTTGAAACCGCCTAATCCTGCGTCGAGCAGCCCTCGGAGGAGGTCAGTTCCCCTTAACTCTTCCACCGAAAGCATTTTTATGAATATTTCTGTATTAAACTTACACACAGAATGGTGGGCGATACGTATATTTTTGAAACTCACCTAATGCTGTTCTTGCTGGTGTCGCGTCTTTCTTGATCCAGAATGACACCCAGGATAAAACCACAGTCAGGATGCAGGGGATGTACGTCTGGATGGTGAAGTACCCCATCCTTCTGCTCAGTTCAAAGTAGATGGTCATGACGACGTAGTCACCTGCCACAAACAGGTCCATAGTGAGACGGCTTTCTCGGCGTCACAGATAGTTCAGGGAAATGATGTATAACGACTTTGCTAAATGAGTGACTTGGATAAAAATATGTAAATACAACAATATCACATGGGGCAAGGGTCAAAACGCTGGTGGAGTTAAATTTAATTTTCATAATATCCATGGCTGGCCACTGGAAAGACACAGAAACAAACACATTAATGGGTAGAGGGGATAGATACACACATTAATTCCGTAACAGACAATTACTCAGTGAGCTGTTTTGCTTGAATTCATTGTTCAATTCATTGAATTCACTGCATGTTTAAAATCGAGGGTAATAGATGAGAGCCTCCACCCTCAGGCAGAGCCGGGGTCATTCTACATTTTCAACAGTAACAGCTACACATAAACTCCCACACGTAAAGCTGTGTAACCGGTTTATATTTCTATTTTTATAGCACAGAGTTTAGCTTTTCGACCTTGTACCTTTTTTTTTTTTTTCCAATTGATTTCAGAGAGAGCAAGGGAGAGGGAGAGAGAGAAACATCGATGATGAGAGTCATTGATCGGCTGCCTCCTGCTGGGGGTCGAGCCCGCAACCCGGGCCTGTGCCCTGACCGGGAATCGAACCACGATCTCCTGGATCCTAGGTCGATGCTCAACCACCGAGCCACACGCCCAGGGCCAAGTACCACCTTCTGCCCTGGCCCCCAGCTTGTCCTTCTCAGCCCCAGGCCGCTGCACGGCCCTCCACCAAGGACCTTTCTGCAACATGACTGTCACCGACCCTCTCCTTGTGCCCTTCAGCAGCATCCTGCTGTCCCCAAAGGCTCACACCTTTGCGGGGTCTGCAGAGCACCACGTGCGTGAAGCGCCCTCGCTCGGAGTCTATCTGGGCACCGCGGTCTCCCAGGTCCCCCGACCGGCCAAGGTCCTTGCAGATGCCGCTGAGCCCCTTCCCTCCCCCAGATGCTCTCCTCTGTCCCCCGACCCCGGGCTCCCTGTCGCCTGAGTACTTCAGCTTGGAAACCGCTGTTCACCAGGAGGGCCCCTCCGACCCCCGACCGGGGCGACGAATTCCCTCCTGTAAAGACCAATCCAAAGCCTGTCTCCAAACCAACGAGCTGGGTGGGTTGCAGAGAATACTTCTCTCGTTCACCATCGTTGGCGGTAAGCAATCAGTTGGTATTTGTTTAATGTAAAGATCGTCCTGAAAGTTCCATTTTCACTAAAATGATCGGCAGAGAGACGATCTTGAACTCGTGTGAAAACCATGCTTTTCAACAAACGACTTTCTTCCCGGATGCCGAGCTCCGCAGCAGCAACGTTCAGGGTGGGAGAACATTCCATCGAAACATCAAGTTTCAGATCGCTTCCCCCAAACCATTTCATATTTTAAGCAAATTAGCGTTTCAGTACAAAGGAATCAGAATGATTAAACGGAGGCAATCAGAGAACACAAATATTTNTGGATGCTGAGCTCCACGGCAGCAACGTTCAGGGTGGGAGAACATTCCATCGAAACATCAAGTTTCAGATCGCTTCCCCCAAACCATTTCATATTTTAAGCAAATTAGCGTTTCAGTACAAAGGAATCAGAATGATTAAACGGAGGCAATCAGAGAACACAAATATTTTCCTAAGTGATCTGAATGCCAAGTGACATCATCTCCTGAGGGAATGTTATTGAATCGTGTGTGTTATTAAAAGCTTATTATTTTTTACATAAAATTTCAATAAAGAACCAAGCAGAAAACCAACAGAAGACAGGGAAACAAAACGGAATAAATCGCCCTGGTGATAACACAGCCCCAGCGGAACATCCGGAAGAGTCGGATAATTTATTGCAGGCTCCCGAGTGGGTAAAAGACGGAGGATTCCAGGGCGGGCGCAAAGGGGGTCAGCAAAGGGGTGTCTCCTTTGGGAAGAAGGGGCCTGAGGTGTGCTCAGTGAACCCCTCTCCCTAACTCCGAGGTCTGCCCCTTGTCCACCGTCGGGTGAGGGAGCGGGGCCATCAGGGCCACATTCCAGGGCCCGACCCTGCAGCTGCTGCAGGACAAAGGAAAGCTAGGAAGACCCCGGGACAAGTGGAATAGGGAAACTGAGGCAGGAAAATTAAACAGAGCCCCGAAGCTCTGCAGACCGCTTGCAGCTGGACCTTCTCGTGAGAATAAAGGGTTATAACCTCCCCTCACCAAAGAATGCGGGAGAGGAGGAGAAGGGCCGAGGGAGATGAGTGGGAATCTTAATGCAACTAGAAAATGCATAATTTAAATCACCCCAAAAGCAACTAAAAGGCAGCAGAGAGGCGGGAGGAGGGGCAGTCTGATCTCATCCCACTGTTGAAGCAGAGAAGCCAGCAGTCTCGGGGGTTAGTTGCCAGGTGCTTCTCACAAATTCTGGGAAAGTCGTAACAGAGAAAAGGGGAGATCTTCAGCGCTGTCTACCAGGACACCCAGCAGAGGAACTGAAACAAAACGCTCATAGACAGGAGGGTATGTAACACCTCAAACCCCCACCCAACGTGCTCTCAGATTAGCTGGGAGCCCGTCTGAGCTTCGTAAGCCAGAGGATAGCTCGCCTTGGTCCTTTAATAAATGTGCTTGCTTTAATTTTTAAATAAATTCACTTTAACACAATGCAGTCATCTGGGGTCACTTGTTTAAATTCATTCCTACGAGCACAACAAGAAGGGAGGTGGGGACAGCCCTCTCCCTCTGACTCGGGGCTGTCCCATGACACCTCTCTGGTGTTTTTATTGGAAAAATCAATAAATCCATGTATCTTTATTTAATTCACTGTGGCTACCTTAAACTAGAACGCTAAGCAAACAAAGATGTTTGCCCCCAGAAAGCCTTATTTAGTTCAATTTGAATTTCCTATAATAAAATATTGAATGTCTTCCATAAAGCCTTGGCAGGTTTTTTGTTAGATTTAACTCTCGGTGAACGCATATTTCCGTTGCTATGGACAATGACATAGTTAAGTATACATTAATTTACATTTTATAACTCTTATGCATTCATTGGTTGATTCTATGTGCCTGGACCAGGGATTGAACCTGCAACCTTGGTAAGTTGGGAGATGCTCTAACCAACTGAGCCGCCTGGCCAGGGCTTAAGTTGTCACACTCCCTTAGGTCAGTGCACATGGATTTAAGACTTTTCTTCTGATCAAATGACTGAAAGCAGTAATGTATCTCCATAATGATAAAAAGAGATGTATCATCCATGCTGGGGAACACAGCGAAGAATGAAGCTTAACCCAACAGTGGACTAGAGAAAATAAAATACTCTGCAAACGGAGAGTTGGCCATAGGAAGTGAAGTCGGCTGTTTGTAGCTTTGATGTGGAGTCACTAGCCTCACGGCGAGAGGTCTCACAGCAGCTGCGCACACCCTGGGTGCCTTGCTGTGGGCCACGCTGGCAGTCTTCCTGAGGCTCAGTCCCCATCGTTAATAAATATATTTGCATATGTTTTAAATTCTTCAAAGTGAAAGATGGGAGGCAAATAAAAACCACAGAACGGCCCTGGCTGGTGTGGCTCTGTTGGTTCACTGTCGCCCTGCACTGAAAGGTTTTGGGTCTGATTCCCAGTCGGGGACATGCCTGGGGACATGCTCAATCCCTGGCTGGTGCATATAGGAGGCAACCAATTGATGTTTCTCTTTCTCCCTCTCTCTCTAAAAATCAATAAAAATATTTTTAAAAACCCCCATAAAATGATGTATATGTATATATATCACTGTCACCGTGTACTAAGTGCTCAACTTGTTCAGGCCCCATGGAAAGATAATTTTGCTGTCAAGGAATAATTAATGAAGTCTGATTTTAAAAGAGCAGACATAGTCAGATGTGATTTGTATCACAGAATCTCCATTTTCTTGGTGGATGAGCAGTTCGTTCAGCCGGGCAGTGCTCTTTCCACATCTCCTGTCTGAGTTAGAGCAGGAGGGTGACTCATAGTGGGTCTGAAGGGTTCTTCACTCAATCTTGTGAGCAAAGACACTGCCGCTATTTTTAAAATTCTGACTCTAAAAGCCAGACTGATTTATTACCCAGATTGCACTCAGAAAAATATGACAGAAAGCCAAGAAGAAACCACTTTTAGAGTTCCTTCTACCGGCGCTATTTTAAACGTGCCTTTCTATTTGCGTTCAGGATATAAATCTCACTACAGAGCCCTGGTAAGGTTTGAACAGCTGACTGAATGGACTGTTTAACACAGAAAGTAAATATGTAAATCCTACAGTGCTCCCTCACAGGAAGTACATTAAGGCAATAATAATAGATATTATTTATTTATGTTTTTCTTAATCCCCACCGGATATTTTTTCCAATGATTTTTTTAGAGAGAGTGGAGGGGAAGGAGGAAGAGGAGAGAGAGAGACATCGATTGGTTGCTGCCGGCAGGTGCCCCAACAGGGCCGGGGATCAAAGCTGCAACCCAGGTATGGGTCCTTGACCGGGAATTGAACCCAAGACCCTTTGGGACGTAGGGCAATGCTCTAACCACTGAGCCACAGCAGCCAGGACAATAGATGTTAGTTATACATATGGATGGCAATTATGCACTTTGCATATGTTAGGTCACTTAAATTCACAACAGCCATATAAAGAGCTGGTAATGTCCTTGTCACTTAGGAGAGGTGTGCACCGACGGTCACAGAAGTGCCCAAGGTCAGAAGCTGGCAGTCTGACCCGTCCTCCTGACCTCTGTGCTCTCTTTATCAGAAACGATTTTAAAAACTTCAACTGGAGCACAAGCTACCAATTGAACACAGAATATATAAAACTTCATGGACACAATATTTTCTTGGAGTTTGGAGAATTGCTTTCAGAAGCTGCTGAACTTAAATCTGGAATAAATGGCAAAAAATATCACCTATTCACACCCAGCTGTGTGGCTTTTGCCTTAGTTACAGACAAGCAGCTCTTTCTCATGGTTCCTTTGACTATGAAAATTTACTCTCTTAGGGGGATGGTCTGAGGCTTTGCCATAA